CATGTTCTTTAGACTGAACTGTCGCGCTTCTCGTTGCGTCACACCTCAACCCGCCTCAAAGCCAACGCTGATTGGACGTTCGTTTGGTGAACGGCGCCAAATTTTCTTTAACGGAGAGTCTCCAGACTGATTAGCGAGTGAAACCTTGAAAGCTAGCAGGTTGAGCCAAACATCCTGTAAATGTGCAGGGTCATCTTTGAGCACGCCTTTTCACCATTATTCCCCTTCGTTATGACAACAAGACATTGATTGATTTGTTGAGATAACGAGATAATGAACCTGTCTGAGTAATGAATGAGGCTGGTCAACAGCCCTGGATTCCCAGTCCATCCATGCCTGCGGGGCCCATAGTTGGGCAGTCGTGGTACCACGTGTGCACAAATGATCCGTTTTTTTAGTTTCCTTTTTCTTTTCACTCATTGTCAGGTCATGGTGGATGATTGGATTCCATGGAATACAGTAGAAACAAATCTGTTTCTTAATTACAATCTAATCTGGACTCATTTCGGGGATTAATGCATCTTGTACCTGTTACAGGTGTAACACGGGGGCCTGTTCAGACAGCTAACAGCTAACGGCTGTTCAGCGAAGGCGCAGGAAGCATAAGTCTAATTGCTTATGAATCAGAAGTGGAAGCAAATCATCAAACCAACAACATTGTCTCGTTACCTAAAAGTTAAACAAAGGATTATTTACAGAATTACATACAGGCTGCCATGACTTCTACTTATAAATCCTCTCCTGCTGTTGTCGTATTGCAGGATGCAATCAGTTTTAACAAACACTAATCACCTCATTAACATGAGAAACTGCTTTCGTTATGTTTAGATAATGAGAAAATGTATTTGTTTTTTTAGAGAAAACCGCCGTGAAAAAAATTTCGAAGGGACACGACCGCTCTGGGCTTCCGTACCAAACCGAAATGTTGCTAGCACCACAAGTCGAAGGCTGATCAGCTCATTGTAGTTTGCAATTGGTTGACAAGTATTTATTTAAGATTTCTTGTGCAAAACTCCTAAAGTATAGAGAGACACTGATTAGATTAGATTAGATTAGATGAGCTTCATTGATCTCACAGCGGAGAAATTCAATGGTCACATATTGGCATAGTACTTCAAGAAGGTGCAAACAAGGAGGAAAAGGTGCATTAGGAATAAAAATAAATAAAAATAAAATAAAAACAAATAAAAAAAATTTAAAAAATTTAAAAAAATAAATGAATAAAAAATAAATATCTGGATCTGTGTTAAAACTTCATGATTTTCAATTCTAAAACCTTAAAAATATGGTTTTCAGGTTTAGATTTTTATGAAAAATATAAAAATACACAAAGTTCTGTAAGGCAGAGCATTTCCAAAAAAAAAAAACAAAAAAGAAGAAATGTGAATTAAAGTCACTGTTGGTGTATTGCAGAAAATAAACTATAATTTTAAAGATTTTGAGTGAAAAAGATGAATAATTACAGCATTAATCAACAAAATCTGACCACATTGAAGGCATCTCATAATGAGCTGTTAATGCATTTATTAGGTGTTTGTCACTCCTCTTGTTTTAAGCAGAATCTCTGAATAAACTGGCCTCTGTTCTCTCCTTTCATGTTCTGCTCCGCAGGTCAGCACATGCAAATGCCGTTAAATAATTGAATAAATTCCCCCCATGCCTGCAGGGAATGGCGTGTGAAAAGAAAAGAGGTTGACATGAAGGTCGCTGCTCGGATCTGAACGGGCATGTTCATGATACCAATGAGCTCTTTCTCTCCCCGTGTTCCAGGTAGGCACATTTGCTCGGGGCATCCTTCAGGTTCGCTACCCCATCTGGCCGCGCTATGGCAGCTTCCTGGAGCACATATCTGATGACCGCCATTTGACGGTGGCCACCCTGGAGGAGCATCCCTTCGTCATGGTCGAGAACGTGGACCCAGGAACTGGCACGTGCGTCCGCAACACTGTGCCCTGCAGGCGTCAGGCCAATCATTCAGACAGGTACAGCTTCTTCCATGAACATATAAACCACCTTCATACGACACATAAAAAAACCTGAAACGGCTTTCATAGATTCCTGAGAACAAAACATGAAATCCTGCTGCCTCTTTTTGGTGAAACATTCTGATATTTAACTGCTTATATGGAAATCGTTAGGAGTCTAAATATAATCTATAGTCTTAGGGAAATGAAATAAAATATGTGAATTAAAGGAAGCACAGCTCCCAAACTATAAATTGGAAATAGAATTGTTTTTTATTATATAACAGAAAGGAACAGGAATATTCTTCAGGTGGAGCCACTATTTTAAATGTAACCGTGTCTGATTTATAGGTAATTAAAGTAGAATATTTAGCAAATGTTCCAAAATAAACACCATAAAAGCCCATTTGAAACTCTGGATGAACCCTCAGACTTTATAGATCCACATCCTGACTATAAGTCAAGCAGATTTGGACTGAATAAGTTGAAGCATGTTTGTTCCACATAAGTTTTAGTGGGCAGTGAGCTAGGAGGAAATGGGATTTTGGCACAAGTGGCAAAATTAATTTTTTTCCACTCATAAAAGGGAATCCGGTCAGACAAATATGCTGCTTTACATTATTAGAGACCGTCTGCATAAGACAAAGCCTTTGCTCCTAAGATTTAGTCATTGTTTCATTAGTATTTACCAATAATATCACAAAAGAAAAAAAAGAACAGTTACTAGTGTTGCACCGATACCATTTTAGGAGGCAAAAGTTTCTTCAACTATTGTCACTCATTCCTGTCATAAACGCGGACAGATGGACCCAGTATTCAAGGAGAGACAGTCAGTAGGAAAGTTCAAAACGTTCATTAAAGAAACAAAACTAAAGCGGAGCTGTGGCTCGCGGACACTGCAGGC